TATTATACAATTAAGTTGGGCTTACCACTCCGTGTCGGTTGAGTCTTGGGGCGCCAGTTGCCAAACAGATCTCTGGAGGGTTACAGAATTTGCCAAGTTTGACACTATAGCCTGTTGATATTGAAATAGAGACAGACTCAGGAGCAATTTCCAGTTTTTTATATTTCTGGTTAAGTCGGAAATTAAACAACAAAAACAAAAAAACGGAAAGAACTAAAAGATAACTTTAATGAACATCTATTTTATTAGTTGTTTTTTTTTTAAGTTGTTTGGGTTTTGAGGGTTTTTTTCTTTTGTTACTACTGGGACAATTGTTGGTGGAAGGAAGGTGTGTGTGTGTGTGTGTGTGTGTGTGTGTGTGTGTGTGTGTGTGTGTGTGCGTGTGTGAGTGTGTGTGTATATGTGTGTGTGAGAGAGAGAGAGAGAGAGAGAGAGAGAGAGAGGGAGAGAGATAGAGAGAAAGAGAGAGAGAGAGAGAGAGAGAGAGACCAAGAGAAAGAGAGACAGGGAGAGAGAGAGGAGAGGGGGGAGGTTCGTGGTCTTCTAAAGCATAGCTATTGCTTTAGGTCCCTCTGAGTAAAATTGAATTTGCTTCAGAGAAAACTGGGCAAACCAAACATTAATATTGTTGATTTGCTAACGATTCGACAAATTATCATGCAAACAGGGAAGGAATAGCATAACCTTGATCTAAACTGTTAGAAAAATGTTTGGGAATGCCGCTAAATACGAATGCATTTTTCTAGTGACATTAATAAATTTACGTTATACTTTTAGAAATGATACCTGCTAACTTTTAAGTACATTGCCTTTTAACGCGATCTTGCTTAATAATATGTGCCTATACCTTCGTATCCATAAGCAGTATCCTTTAGATTGTTCCTCTTCAGACTGGTCTTCATTGTAGCTGTCCCATCAGCAATGTTCTTGATGTACAAACTCCCTGAACAGAGGTACAGACAGAAATACATTCACATTATACTAGCTGCCCGAGGGCCTTCATCACGACAGCTTGGAGCGTAGGGCTTAGACTATCATGTATTGCTTTCGAGCGTGGCGCCACGACAGCAGAGACTAACTGACAACGTAGTCTATCTGTACACCATAAAATTGCATGTGGATTGTTCCAAATTTTACTTAGCGCTAAGAGTAAAAAAAAGAAGAAAAATAGGTAGAGAAGTCGATATAACATATTAAAAAATCTTTGAAATTGGTGCTCAAGTATGTTATACGGTCGTCACATAGTGGCGACAGCACCTCATGCATAATACAATGGTACATTCAACAGGTCTCTTGTTCACCCACTGACACAGTAGGGAGGACGCAAAATAAAATCATACCTTCAAACGTTGAAACCCCTGGGGCTCCTAAGGCAAAAATATTGTTCTGTAAAAGAAAAACGAACATATAGTGATTACGCAATAAATGACTCGTTCTTTTGGATATACAGAAAGTAGTTGACTAGCTCATAGTGGGCTTTCCCCTTCTAGTGATGACAAAATTCTTTCTAAAAGTAAAAGCATTGTCGAATAGAACTCTTTAATCAGCTATCCTTAGACAACTCAAGTACAGTAGCTTATTAGTACTAAGAAACTGATGTTATGATGACTGGGTAGATTTATAAACCGAGTATAAAAATTGCAAAGGAAACAATCTACGTCATTGTCATTGTCGTTGTCGTTATCATGGTCATTATTGTTGTTGTTGTTGTTAATGATGTCCTTGTTATTGTTCTTGTTGTTGTTGGTGGTGGTGGTGGTATAGTTGTTATTATTGTTGGCTCAGAAAATTATTTTGAGAGGACTTGGAAACAGATTTCTATATTTCAGAGCCTTTGAAATCACCCCCAGTGGCAGATGAATGAATGAAAACATGAAAAATCTAGCTCACAACTCAAACACATAACAAGGCTCATGTAAGAGAAATTGACCTGCTAATTCAGATATCATTATGATCTTTCATTGATTAGGAAGACAACACGTGCAAGTGGAGAAAAGATACGCTGTATATCATACTGTGAAGGCAACTCGCAGGATATTGCCAATACATGTATCAGGAAGTTAATTCATTTCATGAAAAGGTTTCCAGTCGATTGTTCTATTGGTTTGTTTCTTTGATGCTTCTTTAGGATTTTTATTTACTTTTAAAATTTTCTTTTTTAGTTTAAGGTCATAATAGACACAACACTGTACTTTGGACAGTATAAAACAGACAAAAAAAAGTAGTCGAGAAAGCAGACCGAAGATCATAGGCTCATCAAAGTATCAGGTAAGGATTTTCTTGCCCCCCCCTCCCTCCCCCCTTTCTTCCAAGTTAAAAGCGTATTTCGTGTATGACGTCACGTCCACCCAGATGTGACCCAAAAGAGAATGGATAGAGCCCAGATGTGCGAAGTAGGTCAAGTAAATTTGGAATGGAGGGGCCAAGAAGACGTTCCTCAGGTATTGATCTATGTGTCACTTCTGCCGGACGGAAGAGGGCCAGTCTGTTACTGCCAAATCCACTTGGAATGTTTACCCTGTTGTTAAGTCTTAAATTGACAAGGAGTATTAGTTACTTTGTTGTGCACCATTAGTGCCGCAGGGAATACAGTCCCACTTTCATGGTCTTCCCAAGGATGCATTTTAAACAAACAATTACATATGGATCACCTCCAGGCACAACCGGAACAACACAGCACATACCAGTGGTCGGATGACCAAAGATTCATATTATGAATACATTGAACATTTTATAAAATCCACCAAATACTCAAAAGACCACCCAGTATAGCTTGTACTGGACAATCACGAAACACACTTCTCTCTTAAGACAATTGGCAAAGCAAGAGACAATTGAGTTGTGATGGTCACTTTGCCGCCTCACGCAGCCATAACCTGCACCCTTTGGACGGCTCAGTCTATGGACGATTTAAGACCTGTTACAACCCGGCATGCAGCGTTTCATGGCCAACCACCCAGGACAGCCAATCGCCATTCACAACATTGCAGAAATTGTTGACCAAGCCTATCCACAGGCGTTCACACCCAGAAACATCAACACTGGCTTTCAAATGACTGGCATAATATGGGTTTTCAACCCAAAGAACTTCACACAGGTGGACTTTCATTGTGCATACGTCACTGATCGCCCCCTGAGTCCTTCGACTTCTGCACAATCTTCCAGTGCCACTGACTCTGCCACCCCGGCAACACCCTCACCAGCCGCCGCCACATTCTCAACATCTCCTGAAGCAGAGAAAGCATCAACATCACCTGGAAACACCTCTGCTGAGGGCCTCATTTCCCCTCACATTATTCATCCCTTCC